CTGTTCAATGATTATTAGTCGGTAGTAACCTACCTAAATGATAGTGATGGTGATATCTTTTCAATGTCACAAACTATCGGCCTTGAATTCTAGGCTGAAACGTATCACATACTCATGTATTCACGTATTTGCTCATATACGGTATATATAAAGTATTTATCATATCATATCATTTCCTATCCTATCCTATCCTATGAATTACAATCATATTATTCTCAATACTGATTTCTATTTATTGATATTTATATGTATTTCATATTAGGGATTGTAATCATAATCGTGATTCTCTTCTTATTTACACTAACTCTACTCTACCGACTCTACTCAGATAGTACTACATAATAATATAAATATATACCTCCCTCTTAAGTTTCATTCATTCATTATTTATTATCGATATCCTACATATTCAATGTACAATGTACGATATTTGATATTTGATGTATGATGTATGACATCTGATGTTTAAAGTATATATGGTAAACTTCCCAAGATATTCTACATGCTAGGCACCATATCCTACATACCTTATCATTTCATGTCCTCGCGCGAGAAATATGTAAGCCGTGGATATTTTTTGTTTGAAGTTGGAGGGTTTGAAGTTGGAGGTTGGAGGTTGAGGTTGAGGTTGGAGATGTGTGTTTATTTTCATATTCATGGGGAGGTAGGAGAAAGTAGGTAGTAAGTAGTAAGTAGTAGGTAGAGAGTAGTAGGTAACAGGCTGTGTGTTTTAGATCTTAGATCTCGATTCTAGACTCTCACTCGAGATTCTTGGTACTGCTATATATATTATCTAAAGTCGAATTTGCATGCTTTTCTTTCGACTCTTCTTTCGACTCTTTAGTTGGGGTTTTTCGGGGGGTTCTCATCGCGTTTTGCATAATAAATGCTGGGACAAGGAGTGGTTTTTTCACGTGGTTTGATGGGGATGTGATGATGAGGATAGGGCGATGAAGTGGGAGAAGGGGATGAGGATGAGGAGGGAGATGAGGATGACGATGAAGATGGGGAGATATATAAAAAATAGGTAGTAGCTATATATACCTACTACACATGAAGATAGTCTCTCGTGTACTAGTTTCTTTCTATAGGTTCTAGAAACAAGCGCGAGGGCAACGAATTATCACCTAGATATATTACTATACACTCTCTTTACTATCTATCATATTCCCTTCTCATTTTCCAGTGTGTCTAATTTAACCGTTCTTCTCATTCTCATATTGCGTTTTATTTTCCTTTACGTTATCTGACTACCACTGTGTAAGAAATATCCATGCTTTATATAAAGAAAGAGAGTTAGAGAGATGACAGATATTGAATTCAATTCGAAATCTAAAAATCTACGGATTGAGTTGGAATTTTATTTCTACATCTACCACACATATACTCACAAGACTTGACTGATTAAGCGGCCCAAAAAACAAAGCGCTGACATCAGTCTCATTCGAAGAGTATTTCAAATCGGTACGCACACGAGGTTCATTCCAGGGCATCGTGAGGCCCTGGTGAACTTTTGATCATGACTAAAATCTACATATCCTTCCTGAAATCACCAGAAGCTGGAGTTACTCTAAAGTTACTAGTGAGGTAAGACAGATGCGGAAATACTAAAGTTCAACATGCGATGTGAGGATGATTTCGTAATTACTATACGGTAGTCTTGCTGTAGCTAATAAGGAGTACAATACGTACAGTAATAAATAAAATAACTAATAATATTTACATCCATATATATTACATCAAAATGGCTATACTGAAGATATGAATTCCCGTATTTCAGTATATTACTAGTGATATTCGATATTGCTAAAATATGGAATACTCTCAGTGATATATAATTCAATGATAATTAACGAAATATCTTTATAAATATTGATACGTACCACTAGAGTGGGGCGTAATTGAAGTACGGAAAATACTAATTACAACACTGGTCCCGGGTTCAGTGATCGGATCCTCATTTTTTTCTAGCTAGATGGAAAATCAAAGACTTATCTATTTGAGGCTATGTATTGCCATAGGCACCTACTCTCCATCGCGTAGTTTTGAATTACCCAAGGGCTCAAGGAGAGTAGTAGTATCTTGATTCCCTAGCTTTGAATGTTCTCACGCTTTCTTATCTTCCTCTCCTCTTATGTAGGGCTTTCCCCTCTATCAATGCTATTCACTCGGCTAGACGCATATCACGTAGATTGACATTCCGTGAATTAATGGCTCAACTTCTAGCTTTTACTCCAATTCTTCTAGGAAAGAGTGTCTGATACTTGATTATTATGATCGGCTTCTTCCTCTAGAATATAAATATTAACAATAATTAGATGAGAGACCGTATACAAAACATGAGATGATAATCCAAATAAGCGACAGTGAAAAGGGGATTCGTGAATCATTTTAGCGAAACCCATAATCAAAAAACGAGATTTCCATTGCCGTCTCGGAATCGAAGAAGGATAAATCAAGAATTGGAAAAATTCACTGCTAACATCAGTGTGGTGTTACGGATCACGCTTGCTTGTACTTTTCGATGAAAGGGATATTGACAGTAGGTAAACATGTTCATATACAAGTCGTCTCAAATTAGCTTGCCATATAGCAATAAAACATTAACCCTAGGTGTCATAGGGTCTGTCACAAACCGAGTTTTCTTTTTGAATAGACAGTTACCTGATGTTACGGTGTGAACATAGGTTCAAGTCAAAGGCCTTTGTGGTCCCATTTAAGCGAAAGCGAAGGCTGGCTCTTTCAATAGCCCTTATATAAGGGCTATTCCATTCGTAGTTAGCTAGCTTATGAGATTGAATACACATTGACAATGAGACCCTACATTTAGGTTCTACGTCTTCTGTGTTCCACTCAAACCAACATTTACGACCTTGTTCCAACAGAGTGTCCCTAGGTGTACACAGATGTAGGAAATAAAACTAGGGCTTCCTGTACGCTTATACACTTTACTATTTCCATCTTCTCGTCCTCTTTTGGAAGATTTTTGGTTCTAAATGGGATTTGATATTACCAAACCCCTCCTTGCTATCTCCATACGGAGCCATCTAATCGCAGATCAGGTTAGATATATCGAGACCTCATATTTCCTCTTTCAACTCCTATCTATTATTCACCACAATCTTTAACCTCTTCCCTTTTTGCTGATCTATAAAAAGATGAATAGAGCTCAGAATTTAGGATCGATAAAGGCTATTGATTAGGTGTGTTCACAACGACCAAGAAGACCGATACAATCTTCATCTACTCGCCACTTCGGCTCGATTTGTGGGGAATGTTTTGGATTGTCTAGAGTTGTCATTTGTTTCACGGATGTGTGCATTTTTGCCAGGGAACGCAAGTGTGAGCTTGGATATGGGATGTCAATAGTTATTGGGACTCATGACAGCAACAATTTGCATTGAGCCGTAAGTGACGATGTGAAAATTTATTTGCTATATGTGTAAGAGTGATATAAATCAGTAGCCACAGGAATCATAATCTTGCTCTCCTTCCGCTCAAGCCAAGCACTTCAACGTACGATGATGTTACTTTGAGAAACCATAAGATATTGACCCAACTCTCCATATCAGCTCACACTCAATATTCACGTAAACCTCGCAAAGTGCCTTATACTAGAGCGTCGAGACCAGGCACTTATTAATCGCTACGTACTTTGCTTCCACTTTCGATTCCTCAAGATATCGAATCATTTCAGTCTAATTCGATATTATTAATTCACTTGTGGAATAGAAAAAAGTATCTGAATAAGCGCTCTGAATATAAAAGAGACTAAATGTGTTATTCATCCTCCCTCGATTTTGCGGATTAATCGAACATAGGATCACAAGCAGAGTATCATTCTTCACGTTTTTCATGGTTGAACCTGGTAAAAAGGGATTTGATTTGGGGAAGTGGAGGTTGTGCATTTATGTCATGTAGTCTTGCGAAGTGTAACAGAAACAACAGTGAATGTTTTTCGATGATGAAAATAGCTCGAAGACAGCGGGAATAGCTCTTATCTTCAATTTGAGACAGCATGATATGATAATGATAAAGACACAGACTCACAGCAAGAATGTCATACTAAATATTAAATCAAGACCATGGCGAGAGACAAAGACTTAAACCTCTCCTGACATCTAAGCTTTAATTGAGTATGAGAAAAAGATTGTATTTCCATACACTCAAACTTATTGCTTGGTATTGTTCGAGACAATTCTTATTTCTTGAGTCTCAATTCTCGGGCTAATCTATTTTATACTTAGAGAAATATGGAAACTCTATTATGCGAATAATGAAAAGTGGTGAATCTTGATTTTTCTACTAAAGTGTTGCCAGTTTGAACCCTATTTATTCTCCATCGGAAGAGACTTATGAAAAGACTGGGAAAAAGAAGTCTGAGAAATTCCAACCTGGAAGAGGATACCAAGATGGCCATATCAATTACTCGGGAGAGACCATGCGATGAAAGCAAAGGGTCTGGGTAGCTTTGTAGTCTGCCGTTGATTTCTTTTCCCCCTTCAAATTCGATACGATCTGAAAGCATAAGTGAAAGGAGGTGTTTACCATCAAATCCGTTACAATTTTGAAAATTTGACTACTATTGACGGCGACTACCTAGAATACAACAAGTGATACATTGACAATACTAAAAACGATTGATGACAAGAAATTGACAATAGAAAGATCATATATATCAGGAGAAGTCCTGTGTCGGATCGATTTCATCTAGCTGTCTCTGGTGTGAAGGCTTCTCTCTGGCCCGGTTGATTGATAGTCTCCTGGAAGGAAATGCGTCGTTCTGAGGTGTCTATTGTTGAGTGAGGGAAAATGAACCACTTGATCTTCTTATAGACGAGAATTGATAATCAGCTGTAGGATAGGAGTAGAAAATAATTTTAGTGAATGTAAAATTTCAATAGTCTAATCTCTAAACATAAATCATTGTCCTTTTTCCCGCTCACAATGCTTCTCATCGGGTGCTGAACACCACAATAACCGACTTCTCCATCCGACTCTTACAATATCTTGTAAATTCCCTTATGATCGTGAGCCTTCAAATTTGCATGCATTTGTTTCGCCTCAGCTGCCTGCATCATCAATGGAAAGACATCACTCCCACTAACCACCAAGCTTTTCCCTCTTGCCATCGCTATCTTATCATCCATACTAAAGCCCATAGCCATGCCACTGGAAGGTTTATCATGCTTTGCCAATGTACTTTCATAAATTGCAACTGCATCAGTCCATTCCTTCTCAGCACCCCACATACCAGGCAGTCCCATACTAATTCTCGCATCCAATGAGCCTAGCCAGACAGAGTCAATATTCTCGCCGCATTCGGTAAGAATAGCATCGAGATTGTGAATTGCTTGGAGAGTTTCGATTTGGATTATTATGGCGGCTTGGTTATTTACGTTTTCCCAAATGGATTTGGAGGAATCGATAGTGGTGTCTGAGATACCCATTAGATATCGAGCTGGAGGTGCTGAGCGAGTACCGTTTCGAACGGCGCCAAATTTGGCAGATGAGATGATATGTTTGGCTTGCTCTACTGTATCGACTTGGGGGACGAGGATGGAGGCACCAGCATCTAGGGCATAGCCTATTGATGCGTGATCATGGCCTGACACACTATACATCATCAGTATAGCTTTCTGAATGTGATTATATGGGAGCATACCGAACGATTGCAAAACTCTTTCCCTCACTCATAAATTGAACATCGTGAACCATTTGTGTCATAGTTTCCACACTCATGGAAGTATGTTCCCAATCAATCCAGACACAATCATAGCCCAATTGAGCTGCTACTTTTGCGATAGGTGGAGAAGGTAAACCGACGAAAAACCCAACTAGTGGTGCGATCTTCCCATCGTGAGCATCGCGGATAGCATCACGGGCTCTGTGAGGTTGGAGAAGGGAGGGAGCTCTGTAGGCTAAGACTCCTTGATGAGAACCGGAGTCATTACCGTTTGTTAACGAGTCAATAAGAGCGTTCATGGTGAAATGTGTTATGAGGTTTGTTTACCTTGAATAAAGAAGAGGTAAATGGATGAATTAGACTTTACTTCTCTTGACATCCTCCCCCTTTTATATTATTCGGATACGGCATAATCGTACGTTCATTGAACCGTTGGTGATCATTTCCTGTATCACTATTATCAGAATGTCGCTGCATCTATCCCCTTCAGTAACACAACTGATGACATCCAACAATATTGACGTAGAGTGGGCCCATGTTCATGTTCAAGTGCTTACAATAGCGTCGTTACGAGTACTCAGTGAGACTGCCGTTAGTGTGTGGGGCGTTGGATTATGAATTTAGGGTATGGTTCACCATGTGGTGGAGTTCCGAGTGGCTAGAGACGCTAGAGATCCCCGTTTGACGCACTGCTACTCACAGTTATTGATAGCCTGAAAGACAAGTGCTTACGATAGATATTTTATATTGGAACCGATTCTCAGTTGGACAAAAGGTATGCAGGCTTAGTGATTATGGGTAATAAGACGATGATTAAATGATTGGTCACTTCGTTGCACAGCATATGAACTGGGGATAGACAATTAGTCCGTCACTTGGCTCACTTGGTTCACAGGCTGTAAACGTTATTTTCTGTCCCGTGCATCAGCCCTACCTAGTAATGGTCCAGAACGTTACACGACCTGAGCCACTTCTATCACTTTGTAAGCCTTTCATTAACCACGCAATTAACCTTATCATATCTCACCGCCCAGATACTTCGTAAATTGTCTGACATTTCCCAAAGAATTGGTATTTCAGGGTTTGACATGTATCAATCGTGTCCTAAGCAAATCATAAGGATAATCTTATGCGTGGGGCAATAACTGCCACGGAGCACTGCTTGTCGATTCGCTTACCAACCCCATTTTGAGCATCCTATTCACATGCTAATAGGCCTTCTATAATGTTTACCTTGTCATACACACAGTCATCGTGGAGCCCTAACTCCACAACCACCCTCATTCCATATAAAAGTTCAGAAACATGGAGAAACGAAGAGAGCCCGGAGTCCGCGGTGCAGTACAGTCACTCCCCCATGCATGTACAGGCTTAAGACAAGGCCATTGTTACTTTACAGTGGGGAAGCATTGCTTTATTGGGGCATCGTGGGAATGTATAAGTATCTAAATACCTCCTCTTCCGCCGAGGAAGGGAATGATACCAGATTCTTAGGTCGGATTTCCCATGGTGTCAGCGGGGTTAATGGGCCGAATGGTGGGTTATCTCCATTTTTATAGTAGGGTTTCGGATTTTCTGGTTATTGTTGTTTTTATTTCCGATACTATCTCAATTCCAAGCTTCCCACATTTCATAGATCAACGCTTTCGAACTTGCTCTTGGATGAGAATATTGGAGACTGGCACGCGGTTCAACAAGATCTAGGCTTTACCAGCAGGAGTGATTGTATCTCCACGATTACCTTGTTCCCGACGCTCCTTGTCATCAAGATACCGGAAAACTCCACGCAGAGAAACATGATCCAAAATATAATCCCCAGGCCTCGAAGCTAACAGCGTTGAGTAGAATGGTGGAAGTATATCGTCGAGCACACTGTTGAATATCGACAATGACTTTGAGAGCGACTGTGCAAGTGGAGCAGTAAAAATTAGCTCCGGGTGTATCATAAAGATATCTCTAGCAGAATGCAGGTGAAAGATTCTATCTTCTTGAAGGTCAAATCGGGGCCTTGTTTTTACCGAAGAGTACGGCTCTTTTCACGCTTATGCTCTCCTTCATTCTTGCTTAAGACTACTCAACAGTTTAGCAACCGAATGTCACTGGAGCACGCTTCGTTATATGAACAAAATTTAGAACCGAAAGATGGACTATAAAATTGTGTTTAGCCTGATATGCGGTCAATATGAGACCGAATTTAGCTGACATCAATCATCTCTAGGAGGCTGCTTGAAATAGGTAAGTCCTGGTGTACGTAAAGATTTTTTGCTCATCTTTGGGTTGTGTATACGGTATTGTGGTCGACAATTACTTTCGAAAGATAGACGTATCGAACCAAATAATGGCAACGATGATGCTCTGTCAAAGTTGGCGATGCTACACTCCCGCTATCGAAAAAGGTGTATCCTTTCGTCTAGAAGTGTACCATTTGGACCAGTTTTCCGAAGCATATCACAAACTTCTAGCAATTGAGCCCAATAAAGTACACACAGCTAAATCACCAGGCCCAGTAGTTGCCACCTGTTTGTTGTGAGTAAAGTACCATAAAATTTACCTAGAGAGGTCAAAGTTGAAGAGTACATGTTATTTGTACTTTTCAACCATCCTTTTCGGTCCCGAGTGGGAACAATTTATCGAACCTCAAAGTGCCGCATCACATGTTCAATTGAGATTGAAGAGATACAAAACTTGGCTTGAGTCCCCCTTGATCCGCTCCTTAAAACTGCATGTACCGGCGCGGAAAAAGAGAGAAGAATCTGTCTTTGGGACAAGAAAGATTAAAAATCGCAATGTGGCACAATGTTTAGCAAAGAAGTAGGTCAAGCTCCAATCTCCATATTATCTGCAGAATTGTCAAATGTATAGTTGGAGTGACAATGTGACTAAGAACTATAAACAATACAAGAGGTTATAAAGCAACAGCGACAATTAGAAGAAATGATAGAAGGGACGGGAGGAAGTGCGCAGGTTTTCACCTAGATGTTATGTGACTTACAGCTTCGCTGGAAAGTAAAGCTTGTCATAATTAACTCCAAATATTTCTTTACTTCATGATAGCTGAAGCAGACAGAATAATCTACAATAGACTTGAAAAGACAAGTTTCAGATATCCATGATACACTCACTTGCACAAAGACTTGGAAGAGATTCAACCTGACAGTCAACTACATTGTACGTAAGCGAAAAAGCATATTTTTATGGGGCCCAAATTTCTGAGTACAAGAGTCGTAGTTTCAATGATGAAGACTACGTATGCATCTTCCAGCATCGTACACTTAACATACCAAGGTAGTTGTATTTCCTGTGAGTGATAAGACAACCTATTGATTTTCTTGGAGACCTCTTAAAGTGCCCTCGACAGCTAGAATAAGGGTTTCTGACTTTTGCTTCTACGTTCACTTCCAAAGCACGATGAGGACGGAAAATGAATGACATAACACAATGTCATGTCGTGTCTTCGACAACGTTAGTAGATATCTAACAATACCTACTGATGTTTGTGTCACATACATCCTAAATAGACGATGACAGCTAGAATATGACAGCACCTCCACTCAACTACATACCCAAGAAATATGGATTTCTTGAGCCTAGGCAATCTAGTACGTCGTTGGATCCCTGGATCATCGGCGTCCCTTCGGAACTGCACGCATAGGAAGCTAAATCTCAAGAATCGAGAGATATTTATACACTAACCTAGGGCTAGCTAGGGTAGATATGAGTGAATCTAAGAGCTCAGTTACCGGGAACTAAATGCATGAGTTATGAATTATGAGGCATGAGGCATGATAGTCTGAAAGAAGAACATCAAATTTTGACATCTTCTGTGGCCTTCATATCCAAAAGAAGTGGCAAACCAAGAAGTCCAAAATTCATTAACATCACCCTGTACAGACGGTCACCAAGCAATAGTCAACATGCACTGGTCATCCACATCAAGAACTTCAATTTTGTAGTGAAGTTTGCGTATAATACGGATGGAGTGTGCCTCTTGCATAGCTCTCACCATGTTGATCGTAGGAACGTTACAATATGGGGGCAGGGAATTCAACTAGTGCAAGCAGAAAGAATGACAATCTATTCTACAACAACTACCAAAGATAACAACAAAGCTGCTAACACCAGCAACAATTATCAGAATTCAGTGTGGATCTTAGTGAATTTCGGAGAAGGATGTGGGGATAAATGAAGCTACGTATGAATGACAAGGTGGTATTAGCCAGGGAAACAGCAAGAAAATATGAGAGGTAGATATGTAGACCAGGTAGAAATTGTTTCCGGTTTGCGTGTGAGGTATGCAAATACATTCAAATCTCTTAGAGTTCTGCTGAGCAGAGTAGACGGAGACATGGAGCTGATTCGCTTGCGGGTAAGTGTGTTCTGCATTAGAGATCATGAATGTAACATAGTAGGAGTGTCCTGACTTGACTACCTAATCACAGCAGGAGGCTGTAACTTCAAACATCACCGGTCTTGAAATGGAGAAAGAGAGATGGGCAAGGACCGGCAATTGACATGCAACGATCAAAGTTAAGAACGTGGTTGACTGCATATTGAAAAACTCCATTTCAACGTTTTGAACCCTGAATTCACTTCATGCGGCGGAAGGCATAGTCTAAAGCAGACGACCACATCACAGGAGCTCAATCTTAGTCAAGCCAGATTAGAAATCTCGACAGGAATTGATGGCCGGATTTTTGTTCCAGGGATCTCTCTCCAAGGAATAGAACTCTTCCGTAACGAGCGATCCATACCAGTGTCCGACATGGAAGCAAAATTCTAATAAGGCCCACGAACATTCGGAGGTATCACGAATGGAAACAAAATATGACAACAACTCCATAATCCGGGTATCAAAAAATATACAGCCTCATAAATCGTCAAGTCAAATGGAGATACTCATCCCACCATGCTCAGAACCAGTACCTGGGAGCTCATCTCAGTAATCCTCCTAGATCTCTTTCCATCCCAGTTACCCTCTCTTCTAATGCCTTCTTCTTCATTTCCAGCTCCCTGATCTCCCTCTCCTCTCTCCTTAAATCTTCATCCGTGATCTCTATCTCCGACGGTTCCTCGTTCACCTGCTGATTGTCCTCCTCACCACTCTCAGTGTCATTCCCTCTATTCATCCTCTCCAATTCTCTCGTCTGTTTCTGCACCTTCTGTTCGTGTCGCTTCACGCTCTCCCTTAATTGCGCATATCTACTGCGTAATCCTCTTATCCTCTCTGGAACCCCTTGTACAGGATATACCCCATTCAATTTCTCCGCCCCCTTCAACAAAACTTCGATATCAATTTCCCCCTTCCCAGTCTCAGTTTTGCGAACCTGAGAATGTAATTCTGCGCCAAGTACAGCGGCAACAGCAGTATTTCGCCGAGGTGCTCGACCGTTAGGACCAGATGCAGGAGCTACTTCGCCGGATGTTACATTGAAGACTGTTTGGCGGCGAGACTTGGATGGTTTGGGCTCGGGAGCTATTTGGGTAGGAGGTGGTGGGGGTGGAGGAACAGAAAAGAGGGCGCGTTCATGAGGTTCGGTGTCGCGAATTAGGGCGGTAATGTCTTGATTGGAGAGGAGAGCATTGGTAAAGATCTGAGGAGGGGGAAAACTGTGGTAGTGGGGTTAGTAGCTTGAATTGGTTTGAACGAGAGGAGCAGTTGCTTACGGTAATGAAGCTATTGAATCCGCCGAGAGAGCAATTTGCTCCAGATGTCTTTCTAGTAATGACATTGTAGAAGTCTAAGGTTGTGTATTTTCGCGTGGCTGTACGATTGATGGGTTTAAAAGTTATCAATATTTAAAGTCATTATTTACAATCACTAGGTACTTCATAAATATCGGCAAGGGTATCAAGACGCGGGACGACAACAAATCCCGATGCTGGATTAGATAATCATCTGAAGCGGAGGAGGCGGAGACTACGATGTACCTAGCTTGCTCAGTTTAATCACGTGACATGCACTTCTCCTCTACAATCACGAATCACATCTTGACTTTTCTTCCCTTTCCCAAGACAAATCAAATCTTCTGCATCTTCCACGGCAACATGATGCATCCCAATTGTGGTTGTATCTTTCTTGTCTCCCATACCGGTATACATATACGTTCTCTGTCTCCTACCTTTCTCTTCTCTGAGAAAGTCTCGATTGATCCGAACAACGCATTCTCTACTTTAATTTGAATCAACAATTGCAATTGGTAGATATATAATCGTTCAAGCATGAAAGATGCATTGTTTGCATATTATCTACCCTTGATAATTTTCGTCTTCCATAAACCCTATCGTCAATCTTTCTCTTCCAGATTTCTTTTTCTTGTTCTCCAAATTTGTTTATTGCTCAATTTTGGTTGCTCTTTCCCCCGTTCATCTCTTGATGCTGCTTGTTGCTTATTTATCAATTTGGAGTTACTGACAACACATACATCGCAACACCATTATTTCTTTCTTGCCTTGGAGGATACTCGGAAAAGCTATTCCCTTTTCTTGAGGATTCTATGTGAGTTTTCGTCTCGAATATTTCACACGAGAGGGAAATTGACTTTTTCATGCTTGGAAATCATCGAAAATTGCCATCCAATATAAACTTCCACAAGGAGCCACCATACATATACATATTCCACATATTCAAGCAATCCAACCAACTGACCGCATAGTGCATCAATGATCGATTGGCGGCATTGTCGATTGACGACTCGCCGCCCACTACTCATTTATCTACCGATATAACCATAAACTAAAGCACGCAAGAAAAAGCAACTCGTCATTAGTCTCTTCTCTTCCTTCGTTCATTGGCAAACAAGCTTATTCCTTGGTTATTTCTGCCCAATACCTATAGGCTGATTTATGCCACCAACGGGTCCATTGTCCATATATCTCTTATCTTGCTTTGATTGAAAGTTGTTGGCTGGTTCTACTTTCTTCCTCTTTCATCCAACTTCTTTCAATTCGAGGTTTACCCGAATATTCGGGTCGAACTTTTCTCTCCCACCCCTCCAACGCTCCCAACTGGTTACCAGAACACCTCTTCTTCAGGGTATTGATCTACGGCATCACTGAAGTGTGGAGACAAAAAACGCATAAGAACATTCTTTCGGCTTCCCGCAACACGCACTTTTTTCTTTCGGAAAAACTTATATTATTTTTTGGCCTTTTCTGATATATCCATTCTTCGAACGCCTCATTCTCAACATCTCGAAACAAATTGATCCTCTTTTCATCTATCTAACAAATACCTGACGGTCTCAGTTCAATTGGCCCACATCCAATTTATTTTTAAAATTGAATTCGATGTTTATCATTGGTCGCCTTGTTTACTTAGATCTACAAGTTACGCTGACCCTTGTATCTTCAACCAGGACCTTGTCCCTCAGATCCCTCGTTAACCAGCTCTGAGACCGGACTTGTCCCCTTTTGACGGTTGACGATAGCCTCGAATCCGTAATTGCGAGGTTTCTTGGCATCCCAAGCTCATCTCGAGATTATCATGAACTGTGACCCTCCAGATCTTCCTTCTCCTGCCAGGAGAGATTCACCACCAGTTCTTACACCTTGACCTCAATCGCAACATATACATCTTTCACGCGCAGAACACAAAAAATTGGTCACTTCAGTCTACTTGAGCAATCACAAAATCGCAGCTGTCAAACATGCGACCTACGACTCCCAATTTCAATTTCGCTCAAAGTGCCGGCCCTTCGTCACCACCTGAGACCCCGACTAATTCTACCTTTACCTTCGCACCTCAACGACCATCAATGAACTTTCCTCGTCCCTCACCCAAAACAAATGGGATCATACCCAATGGTCCAGGGCCTCACTTCAGCTACAATCGAGTCGAAGACTTATCTCCACGATCTACTTCTCCCTCGTCCGAATCCTCGGGCAGCGCAAGTCCACCGCGATCAGAGAGTTCCCAACGCGCGCAATCACCACTTTCGTCGCCTATCCACAGGCATTCACGGGTAGTGGACAAGGGCAATTTTACATTGGAAGAAATAACAGACAGCGACCTCGAGGGCTACGATTACGACGAAGAACTTATAATACGACCCCACCAGTATGAAGATGCTGAGTCCGATGGAGGACATATTGCGCCTATATCTACACCAGCCGAGCTCGATCCACATTTCATCAGTGATCTACGCGATCTTACTGCACACGACTGCACAGACGCTTCTAACAATGAAGAACAAGATGGGTCGCCATTGGATGAGCATGAAGCTTGGGTACAGCGCAATCGGGAAGAACGTCGTCGTCGGCGCCGTAGTTCAGCTACTGTACAAAAACGATCACTTGCGCAAAGTATCGGGAGTGATACTGACGATGAGGATTTAAAGCCAGATCATATAAGCGCAAACGAGGCGGGATCTAGTGCTCGGAGACTACGAAGAAAAACATTCAATCATGGTGGAGATAAACGGTCGAGTCTTATATTTGATGATCCACCGCCCCGGATTCCAGAATTGGAAGAACCAGATAGTTGCGAGGAAGTCCTTGAAGATGATACAGAATTGGATGATCTAAAAGAGTTGCCATATTACGTCTTGGATGAATCTATGGATATCGACTCTTCTTCCTGAGAGCAATACGACTTCAGGGACATAAACATTCTTTGGTGAAAGATGATGAAGGTGTGCAGATCGGCGAGTTTGGATATAAAAAGGGGTTGACGAATTAATGAATTATGATCAAGGCGGCATTTCATTCCATGAAGGCATAATACATATGACGGTGGCATATTATTTTTTACATTTTTGAGCGAGAGACTTATAACTAGGTGGACTTATTCTTACGTTTGATCCATTATTCATTCACATCAAACATAGCATTGCATAGCGGATGTAAGGATAGCAGTACCAGCCAATAGAGCCCGGGAATCTGGACTGAAACTCATGGTTTCGGGGTTTGCTTTATAGACTGGATGGGGAGAGGATGAAACGATCATGGGAAAAGATATAGGAGAATACAAATAGATATAACTTTTATTGATATAAGAACCTGAGGCTATTGTACATGTTTGTATTGAGGTATAGATGTTTTGATGACCTGGGATCTGATATTGAAGTAGAAGTTGTTTAGACCTTGAACTCTGTTTTGTCTACATGTTTTTGGACATTGACGATCGATATTGATGTACATCATCAGAAGAAATCGTTACCACAAAACTGCCATGTTTTTCCTGACAGTGATCAGGTGAACAGTACTCAATATCTGGCTTCCCGTGCAGAATAGTGTGATGGAAGTAGCCAAAGACTTTGTCGGAGATTTTAGATATTTAAATTTGCCTATGGAATAAGTTACAGAATAGAAAGAGGTTAATAAGGAAGTCTTCATAGTAAGTACCTATACCTATCTAGGTATTCGACAATGAGTTGATACAGTGGATCTCTTTGGATTAATAGGTGCAGTTTGTAAAATGTCTAATTATGATAGACTGGTTGAAGAAGTGATCTCATGGTGATATATATCTATCTCGTCAAAGTATGAACAATTTCAAGAACGGAAATTAGGTGAGTGGAATACTGTAGTTAACAACGACGAATAAAGAAATGTATGAGGCGGCAAGAGTTGTTTGATTCAATTGGAAGTTCTTATAGATTCATAGCAACAAATTTGGATCCCCAATGAGTTGATCCGTGAACCAATGAAAAGTGTCTCCAAAAAGGTTTAATATGTACCTACATTGTAGATGTCCATCTGATGTTCCCCACGAGAAAACGTATAGGCTGGCTCTGGTTGGTGCGAGGCTCAATAAATGTGTACTGGCAAAAGACTGGCGCTTGGACGATATTTATTAGCGCTTCCAGTGGGATCTATAAATCCATCTACAATATCTACCTTACCTCATCACATAACCACCAAAATCTGAACATATCAGACATTTGACGACTTTTTACAGAAGAACACATATGGTATTAATCAATATAGACGGCCCTTAGTGTTATCATTCAAATCATTTGTCAACACCCAGCAACATGAATAATATCCTTCCAAATCAGGGTCAGCCTGGGGGTTCGCAACCTGCTCGACCACAGACATTATTCAAGCCCGAAATGATGCGCCAGCTACCTGCGAATGTTTTTACAGAGGAGGAGAAAGTTAAATGGGAACATGGATTGAAAGGACTTTGGTCTCATATTGAAAATAATCCTCTTGAATCATCGGCACATCAAGAGGCCAAGCGGAAATTGGTCGAGTTTTCGAAGTCAGTATCATCCAGGATAATGCAATATCGCACACAGCAGCAACAGCGCCAGGTACAGGCCCAACAGAATCAGCAAAACCAGGCTCAAGCTCAGCAGGTTCAACAGAATCAGCAACAGACTCAGCAACAGAACCAGCGAAGCCCACAGGCGCAACAAGCACCACAACCCACAACAGCTCCATCGAATGAGGCACCTCAACAAGAACCAGCTCCACAACCACAGGAACAAACCACACAATCACAGGATAATCAAGCTACTGGGTTCAATGCTGGAACTTCTTCTCAACAGCAAGCAAGGCCTCAAGTTGCTGCTCAAATACCAGAGAAGATTCTACAGCACGTCAGAACATTTCCGTGGCATGCCCCACAACACCTAATCCCGCAGTCACCAGAATGGACTAAATGGATGGCAGACATGAAGAACAAGTATGCAAAGGGCTTGATGCAGATGGAAAAGACAAATTTGCAGGCGAAGAGTATGGAAGACTACATTAGAAAGAAGAGGGAAGAAGGAACTGCAACAGAACAAGATGAAGCAGACCATCAGACGAGATTAGCAGAAGTTAAAAAACAACATCATATGGCCAAGAAGTTCGTGGATGACATAAGAGAAGGCCAGAAACGTCTCGCACCAGGAAACGCTCATCAAGGTCAAACTCAGCATCCTCAACAATCACAAGCTCCTGCACCTGGGCCATCCAATACAAATGCGAATGGAAATGCAGATGTTACTGCAAGCCAGGGCAACCAAGGAGCTCAAGGTACCACTCAAATGAATCAAACACAAGGAGCACCCAGGCCACCTATGAATTTGCAGCAACCACCAAACCCAGCGTTGCAGAATACTCAGACTGTCAATGCTGCTATTGAACAAGCTCGTAACCAACAAATGGGTGGTGGTAATCGACCTCCTGGGCCACAAGGACAGCCATCACAAGGTCCACAAGTTCCTACGCCAAACGCACCTCCCCATCCAACTATGCCTCAATCTCAACCCGGGCAGGCGCAAAGTATCAAAACCGAGCCAGTAATGCCAGGTCCAATCAACACCGCCATTACTCAAATGCAAAATAACCAGCAACGTCCGGGTCAAACAAATTCTCCTCAATCGGCCATTCCCCAATCAGCCAATTCTATCAATGCACCACACCCACCTGGACCCCCAAGAGCTTTAACCCATCAAGCGGCATTACAAACTGCGGCTCAAAGTTATTCCAGCGCGGGTGGTCAAACGACCACGCCTAATACGGTCATGGGTCACTCGCATACTCACCCTAATACTATGCCCAGGGAACAACAAAATCCAAGCTCAACAAAACTTCCAATTCCAAAACATTTGCCAGAAAGAGCAATCGCACCCCCACAACCTGTCCAAATGGGTCAATCACGCCCTTCTTTCACTGGCGGTCCATCGGGCGCTGGTAATGGAGTCATGGGTCAACCAGTTATTGCCAAGACTCCAGGTTACGTCCTAGATGGCGAAGGTGATCGCGTGTTGAGTAAGAAGAAATTAGATGAGCTTGTTAGACAAGTTACCGGTGGCGGAGAGAACATCGCAGGGGGCGGTCTGACTGCTGAAGTTGAAGAGGTATGAAATTTTCCCTGCATTCCCATTACATTGATTTTCAAGCTCGTCCTTATTACCCCTGTCGCGGATTTATAATACTTCGTACCCGCGAAACGGCTGGAATTAATGTAAACTAACACGTTCTATTAGTCTATTCTTACAGTCGCCGACAACTTCGTCGATCAAGTCCTTCAAGCCGCGTGTAAAAATGCCAAGGAACGGGGTTCGAAAATTTTGGAAATCCGTGATATTCAACTCACTCTCGAGCGCGGTTACAATATTCGTATCCCAGGTTACGCCAGTGATGAGATTCGAACCGTCCGTAAGATTGCACCAAGCTCTGGATGGATCAACAAGATGAGCGCCGTTCAGGCTGCAAAGGTCACGGGTGGAAAGGGTAGTGATTAAAAGTATTGTCAATAATTTCAGAAGGCGTTGTTTTCAATCTATCCAGGATGCCCGATGTGTCTACATCACTTCGAAATGGCCATTCGACTTGACGAAAATGAAAATGATAATTATGGATATGAATCGGGATAAATTTCTTAGGGGTCACTATACTATCAGGGCATGGGATGGATGATAATTGGTGTTGGGCTATTTCATCTTGAATTGATGTGCATATGGCATGGACTATCGTCGGCGTTGGAGGAGTGTCATTGGGATGTTATGAAAGCATCATCTGTATCTTCTCTGGGTATGTGTCGGTCTTATAATTAGGTACTACCTAAATACCATAACACTTCATTAATCTTAATACAAGCTCACTATGATGTCGTGTCTATGATGGTGGTTTGACGTTCGATAAATTCATCCACGCCCTCTACCGCTGTTTTACATTGCAGAATTTTTGTTTAAATCTTCTTGCAATGGCTTCCACTTAGGAATTGATGTCGCGTTCTCCGTCTCTGTCTACCGAGTACTAATCTATTCTGGCGAGAGCATTTTCTGAAATCACTACACCAATCTACTGTCCTTAATTATTGACGCGTAAAAATTGCTCCTCATACGTTCCTAAGTCTCGTCTCGCCAAGGACCCGAGTGATTTCCCGTATGGGCACGTGATTCAGATATGATCTCGTGCTTTAGGTCGGCGGCTGATACGTGATTAGGATCATGGTTTGATATCAGGACGGGGGGTGATAGGTTAGTCGTTGAGACCATTGTGTTGTGAAGTTTTCATTGAGAAAAAATAGCAATTGGTATGTACGGTTGTAATTGTAAATAATCACTCAGTATTATTTATGTACGTCAAAGTTCTTCAATCATGCATCCTGCTTAAAAAGCCATTTTTTCGGTGTTCCACACTAGCTGGCTTGCAGTCGCCCAGCTCCCCAGGCACCCGATGACTCGCGTTAAAACAGCATCAAAGGTCGCTAAATGTAGCCGTAATAATCTTGAGCTTTGATGTTGTAAAGGTAATCCAAGATGTGGACTACAGCTACAACAACTATTGACAACTCAACTACATAACACCCTTTTTAATCAATAACCCTTTCAAACTCCTGTGATACCTTATACCCACAGAGAGATATTCTGTGAACAAGAGACTGATTGTATCACTTTTAAAATCATCCAACGCGACTTGAAGAAAAGTACTTTAGCTCTACCACCCACCAGTCTAGGTTCACAAAAGGGCGACGTCAACCTTCAAATATACTCTTTATTTCGCAGTTATGCCTGGCAAAACACCATACAAGAAGGGTACAGATCCAGTCGAAAATGGTATCAACGGTACAAAGAAGGACGATGCAAAGAGCTCATTGAAAGGTGGAAAGGGAAAGAAGACCAAGGAAGGCGAGGAGGAGATGACAGTCGTCGTACCACCATCAAAGAGTTCTAAATTGTCAGCTCATTCTCCGAAAGACGGTGATGGAGATGTAGCTATGGATGGCTCTGCGGAGGGCGAAGAAGGTGCAGGTGTTGAGAAGGTTGATCCGGTGGCCAAGGCTGTGGCAGGTAAGTCAAGCAATCACCCAACATGTATAAATTTCTATCCACGAACAAAAGCTAACATTTCACTCCTTTTCGCAGATATCAAGAGCAATTTCCCATTATTAGAGAAAGCTGTTGCTTTGTTTGATGCTAGATACACTCTCCGAGCCCTAAGATCTATTTCCTCCATTCGAAAACATCTTACGGCTGATATTTTGGCGCAAGTTATTACGGAAACTTACCCTACAGCAACTCAACAAGCAAAGGCTTTACTCATAGGTATTGACAGAGAGAATGCCACATTTAACAAGGCATCATCAAGTGAGATGGAAATCGATTCTGATTTAAAATCTGCCAAAAACGGGAAGAAAGAACCAAAAGAAATCATTCCGGAGATTGATATTTTCCTCAGCATCCTCGTACAAATCTTCTTCCTCGATAATAAGATGAATGAGAAGGGCTTTACACTTTCCAAGCATGTTACAACAGTCATCCATGGACTCAACCGCCGAACACTGGATTCTCTCTCCGCTCGCGTGTACTTTTACTGGTCTTTGTTCGCTGAACAATTGGCACCACTTCCACCTTCTCCAGCTTCTCCGATTGTTGCTATTCGACCAGCTCTTCTTTCTGGCTTACGGACTGCTGTTCTACGCAAAGACATCGATACCCAATCAACTGTTATCGTACTTCTTTTACGAAATTATCTATCCACCTCCCATATCACTCAAGCTGATCTTCTCATCTCGCATACCAAATTCCCCGAAAGCGCCTCGAACAATCAAGTTGCAAGATATTTATACTACTTGGGACGAATTAGGGCCATTCAATTGAGATATACTGAGGCTCATGAACATTTGACAGCCGCAACTCGCAAAGCTCCTTCGAGTCCGAGTGCTGCAGGATTCTCACAAACTGCGACAAAGTTACTTCTTGTAGTTGAGTTGTTGATGGGAGATATTCCTGACCGTGCAACATTCAGAATCGCTAGTCTCGAGCGTGCTTTACAACCATATCTTAACCTCGTTCAAGCAGTTCGAGTAGGGTTGATTGCAGAATTCGAGGCTGTGATCACTCAACATGCGGAGACTTTTAGACGTGATGGCACTTATACATTGATCCTTCGTCTACGACAAAACGTCATTAAAACCGGTATTCGAATGATGTCCTTGTCTTACTCAAGGATCTCTCTCCGAGATATCTGCATACGCCTGAAGCTCAACAGTGAGGAATCTGCGGAATATATCGTTGCAAAGGCAATTCGTGATGGTGTCATTGAGGCAACTTTGGATCGTGAGAAGGGATTCATGAAGAGTAAGGAAGTTGGAGATGTCTATGCTACTAGGGAGCCTGGAGAAGCATTCCATGATCGTATTCGTGCTTGTCTTGCTCTTCATGATGAGAGTGTCAAGGTATGTTTTCTTCTCTTATCTTATTGTGACATATATTACATGCTAATTCGTAAAACCACAGGCTATGAGATTCCCAATGAACCAACATCGATTGGAACTCAAGAATGCTCAAGAAGCAAGAGAACGTGAACGCGAAATGGCAAAGGAAATTCAAGATGGTGATTTGGATGAAGATGACCTTGGCGGAGACTTTGACGGCATGTAAGATGAGACTTAAGGAGTGGATGAAAGGCTTTCGAAGATGTACACAAATCCAAATGCGAATGCAACTTGTAGCATGAAATGGTGAAGGGAGGAGAGAGAATTGGTTTGGTGGCACTTCATACACTTCTGCCAGAAATTGTTTTGCTACTATTACCTCGTTCCCAATCTGGTATTTCTTTCTAGGGATTGAGAAGATCACAACCTACGACATACAGATGGCTGGAGGTTGGAAATCAGACCATGAATTGAAGGAAATTCCACTGCTACATTAGTTTTTTTTTTTACCTTTTACACCTTGACTGAACTTTATTTGCATGCGAGGCGACGCATTTGGACGTACAATATCTCTGCAGATGCTGGCCGGGGGTTAATGGTTAGAAGTGTTATTTTTGTACAATGACAATCTTTTTGATGCAATACATATTTTGGGGGAGAGCTACTGCTTCTAATTTGTGATTACTGTGATGATGATGTGTGATGTGTTTAACAACTATTGCACGGTGATATGCCGAGCTTTGGACTGGACAAGGTATGTGGATGATGTGGGTGTGGATGTGGGTGGATAAAATATATATATGGTAGCCTTGCAGCATCTGGCGGAGAGCCTTGTGGAGACAGAAGCCTTGTCGCGGTGCGGTGATGTAAACATTCTTAAAACAACTTCGACGCGATCAATGAATTTGGGAAAATCCAAAGAGTGAATAAAATTCACTTACAGTAAGGGGAATTTCGAACGAAGGAAGATGAAGAGGGAATTTAATTTGTATCGCTAGAGAAAGATACGGTAGCGGAAAAAAGGTCGCAAGTCTAGTTTTCCCGTAATAACTATAAAAGTGGCAGCTGTAATCGAGAGCTTGAACATTGCATTACAAGCTTCGCAGGCTACGAATATAAATCTACCTCGTCACAAACAAAACGAACAAATATTGACTCGGCGCGTACTAATTGACGGTGCTGATTAGAACTGCAGATAGGTTTAATATCTCAGACTTGCGGCAATAAATCAATCTGCTGGAGAGAACAAGCAGGAGTTTCTACCAAATTACACCACGACAATAATTGCGATTCAATCCATTTCAAGAACGGCAACAACGACAAGATTTCCACGCAATCACAGCGGGAGTTTTTTTACAATTACGGCCTACTATTAAGATTGTAATTCAATTATATCTTAATCTCCAAATTTCGAAATCAATTCACAATTTCAAGTGTGGGGGTTCACAATTTGACCTTACCACCAGGGGCCTCTAAGCTCTTAACCCCCCCCTTTCAACCATATATCGAAGAAAGTACGATACGATGCCTCCACGAACCCTCCGAAAGCGCTCGCATAGAGCAAGCTCACGCGATACACATTCCAATTCAAATCCTGACCCAAACGCAAATACAAATACAAATGGTTCACCAAATACAATCACGGTGCGAACTACGACGACGACAACTACTACAATGATGGTTGATAAGGATGGTGTTGAGGTTGAGGGTAGTAGGAGAGTTAGTGGAGGAAGAACAAGTACTGGTGGGAGAACAAGCACTGGTTCTGGAGAGAAAAGACAGAGAGGATTGGCGGAATTTGGTATTACAAGAAGTCCGCATCCGCAAGGGAAGAAACGCGCACGCGAGGTTGAGGGGAGGGAGAGGGAGAGGGGGACGAGGATTGGAATACCGTGAATGGTGTAAACATGGCGAATGAAACAAACGGAACAAGTGCAATAACGACTGGTCCGATGAGCTCCACCCAGGATCAAGAGGATACAAATACACCCAAACGCAGAAGAATCAGCACAACAAATCGTGTAAATGGCTCGATTACTGTTACCGGAACTGGAGGGAGGGAAACACCGAGGGAAAGAACCAGGGAAAGAGATGTTACAGTCAGCATGGAGAACTCATTGCCTTCGCCCCCTGCTGAAGCAGGCGATAATGGGCATCATGGAAATCCGGCTGAGGCTGTTGTTGGAGAAAGAAGTTCACCTTCTGGGAATAGAAGTGGTGGAAGTACTGGGACAGAGATGGAGACAGCGAAGGATGTTGACGAGAAAGAGAACGATGAAGAAAAGGATGAACAAAGGGAAAGAAACATCGATGAAGTTGTTTTTGGAGATTTATGCTTCAAGAGTTGGTATTCGAGTTTCTATACCCGCGATGTCATCGGAAATGGAATGATAGAAAATCATTCTCAGAGTGTAAGTCAAGGAAGCGGAAAAAGTAGTAAGAGTGGAAAAAGTGGAAAGAGCGGCAAAAGTGGTAAGAGTGGGAAAGGGGGAGACAGAGATTCGAGAGGACCAAAGGGTTTGCAGGTTGATAGATTGTTTGTCTGCAATTGGTGCTTTGGATACACAGTCCATGGGGGAGAAATGGCGAAACATAGAGAATGTTGTGAGCGTAAAGAAAGAGTGCCCGGAAATTGTGTTTATGAACATGATGAAAACGGGGAATGGAGTGTTTGGGAAGTGGATGGAGAGGTTGAGGGTGTAAGTTTTCTTCTTTTCCTCCTGGTTGTCTTGATTGCACTTCTATACCGACATCATTCGAAAAATTCCTACTAATACCGCCGCAAAGACATTCTCGCAATCCCTGTCTCTCTTCGCCAAACTCTTCCTGGATAATAAATCGGTCCTCTACGATGTGCAGTCATTTAATTATTTCCTTCTCGTTCACACCAATCCCGGTACTAAAGAACAACAAATCGTAGGGTTCTTCTCAAAGGAAAAGATGTCATGGGATAATAATAATCTAGCTTGTATCCTTGTTTTTCCTCCATGGCAAAAGAAGGGACTGGGAAGTATTTTAATAGGCACGAGTTATGAAATTAGTAGGAGAGAAGGACTACTTGGAGGACCGGAAAAACCAATTAGCGAGTTGGGGAAGAAGGGATATGGGAGGTTTTGGGGGGCAGAGGTAGCGAGGTGGTTGTTGGAATGTGAGGTTGGTGTGGATACTTTAATGGGAGAGGACGAGATAGTGGATGAGAAAGAGGAGCTTGATGTTGAGGTGATTAAAGTGGAAAAGAAACCACCGGCGAAGAAACCATCTGGGAAGGGAATGGGGAAGGGTTGGAGAAAGGGTATGAAGGGTGTGGGCATGCAACCTCAATCTCTTTCTCAATCGTCCTCTCAGTCAAAGGAAAATCCAGGACCAGCACCCAAATTAACACCAAAGGCAACAAAATCGGCGCCAAAATTGCCCGTAACACCGCCCATGGAAGATACCTGCGGCGCAACTACCGTGGAAGCTATTAGTAAAGGCACATGGATAGCAGTAGACGATGTTCTTGGCGTCCTCAGATCAATGGGCGTACTTGAAACAGTCGGTAGCTCAAACAGAGAGAAATCGGGAAAGGCAGGTGCAAGTATGCTAGGAGGGAGAATTGAGAAAGCTGGGAAAAAATATAAAGTCAAAGTAGATAAAGAAAAGATCCGCAGGTGGGTAGAGAAAGAAGGATTGAGTTTGGAGAAGTGTGTAAGGGAAGATGGGTTTGCAGAGGGATATGGATATGCGGTTAGTGATGTGAGTGGAGTTAGTGGCGAAGAGAGCTTGATGGAAAGTATCGAGGGGAGTGGGGAGGAAGTCGATGAGGCGGGAGAGGAGGATGAGTTGGCGTGAGAGATGCTAAATACAATGGGAGGAGTTTTGGGCGATGGGTGGGGTAGGGTTAACTGGACCTTTTTTTTCATGGTACTTCGGTTTGGAGGTTAATTTGGTCTTGCATATTAAACGGTAGATACCATAGCGAAAGGAGTTTGCAGATGGGATTAGAGTCGGATTATATACTCATCGATTACATTGTACATAAAGTATCACGGATTCTATGTACTATATTTTTTTAGGAGAAGTGTCAATATCTATGCTCTTGTTTTGTGAAAAGAAATTGTTGTCTTTGATTTTAGTCGTGTAGATGTTTATGTCCTGGGTAAAACTGCTGCTGTATGATAGTAATTTGGTCCGTCGATGTCATGCATTTGGTGTTTCTGTCTTCAAATTTTCAAAAGTAATTCACGAGTCAACCTGTCCATTACAGCTAAGTTGTGAGGAGGAAGACTGAGGAAGTGTAAGAAATATCAGCTGATCACGTGTCAGTCACGCGCAAGCGATGATGTAATTCTTTGGGCGTTTGCAGGGGGACTTAGAAGAATGCAAGAAACCTTCATCAATGATAACTCTCAAGGACTGCATATTCTATTTTATCTCAATTGAGAAGCTCAAGTTAATATCTTCTCGTCTAATTCTCGAGAATCATCATATCATCATGTCCGCTAGAAAATTCATCAGTGGTGCGACACCAATTTCACGTTCAGTAATTCTCCTGCCCAGAGATTCAATGCACGTGAGGTTACCAGCCCGTGGCACTATGGCTTCGACTTCGATGTCCAGAGAATATCAGAACGATGTAATCTCGGAGTCCAGCCCGAAAATAGCTACTGAAGAGAAGATAGCAGTGAAGGATGCAGAGGGGCAAAAGATTGAGAGGCCAACTGAAGTGGCGGGAAAGAAGGTAGATGGAAACAATGGAGAGAAGTCGGAGAAGAAGAGGAAGACAATTGCCGAAATGGATGAAGATTTGAGGGCAAAGATGGAAGGAAGAGAGGGTGCAGCTGGGGTGTCATATGAAGGAGGAAAGCCGGTGACCGATGGATTCGGGAGGGGGGTGAAGAGTAATATGTTCAGGGTTATTTGAGGAGATCAAGGTTGAGTTTGCATATATATGGTGGAGGAGAGAAGTCTTAGTAGAAAGGAACGATAAGACGTGAGAACTTGAGGTTCCACAAGATACGGATGCCAAAATACGTATTGCATTACTGCAATATCAAACTACTTACAATGCGAACGAAAGTCGTCAAATCACCATTTTGAGTGTCTCAATGTATTTCCGTCTATGGAAGTCGTTTTTAAACAGCAAAAAGGCTGCATACTTCCAAGTTAAGAAGCCACGACTTCACACGTCCTTTTAATCGCAGGAATTCCCCCTTTATCAAACGTGGCCATTAGAAGCCACAGCCAAATCTCAACTACCTTTACAAATCCCTAAGAAATTCATGTCTCCAATCCTATTAATTACGCCTACAAGTTCTTACCTATTAAACAATGTGTCTTTGTTTATTCTGGCTTAAATGCAAGTGTAAGGTTTTTCGACGAGACCAGAATGGCAGTTGCAATCAACATATCACTCATGATCGAATATCTCAATCCGAGAGTGAATCACAACCAACACGTCTAGGAAGGAAGGAAAAGAAGAGGCACAATACAGCGGGACAATCTCATTCTCGTAATTCAAGTAAACAAAAACATCCCAATAGCTTTACGCAAGGAGCAAATTTCGGTATCGAAAATAATAGTGGTCTGAGAACATATCACATGCCAAGACTGAGAAGAACGAAGACTTTCAGAATTACGAGAGACTCAAGAAGGAATACAGGCTTTTGAGCAAGAAAAAAGATGGACGATCGCAAGGATCCGGAAGCGGGGAGCGGTAAATAATCACAGACCGATACCCTTGAGTATGACTTCAATTTTTCAAGAGCGAAAAGGGAGCTCCTAAGGGAGACCCCAACGAACGCTTCAGAGATGGAAAACCACTCTCGGAAAAAGAAGAAGTTCAACCTGGGGACTCCGAACGTGGTATGCAAGACGGCGTTGCAGCGTGCGGCAATGTGTTCAATCCTTCAACGACCGACAATGATAATGATATATCGCATTCAAATACCGATCGGAGTCATAGTTTCAGTTCAAACGGAATGAATACTTGTCTAGATCTATATGAGAAACCTCGTTGGTAAGTTTCATTCACTCCTATCGAACTCCCACACTTCTAGACAGCAGCATCGAGTTAGAAGAGAGCAACGGAGACACTGCAACATTGGCTCTTCTGCTGGCAATTTTTAAACCGGGAGCAGTTTGATTGAACTCATATGATCCCAACAATCAAACTAACTCAGAATGGCAATAGCGGTTTAGTCCGCCTAGAGCAAGATGGAACCGACGACCAAGAAATAGAAAAATACGAGGATAGTTTCTGTCGTATAACTGGCCCTACTACCTATCTTCTGTAGTCAGAAGAAGAACAGATCAGGGATACAATGATTGGAAGTGACCTTATTCTCGATAGGGGAAAAATACATTCTTGGAGAGTTGAAGGAAATAAGGACCTAGCACATTTTGTGTTGCGACCACTTCCTCGTCTTGATTGGAGGATCGGCGAGGATAACAGTCTGTTTCTTACGAAGGCCTTTGCTGGCTTTAGTGGAGAAACGGTGGCCAAAGAATAAGTGTGATAAAACTATGTGAATTGTGAGAGGGCGACTCTTATAATGGACGAGCTGGAAGAATACATGTCTACATATGTCTTTTAGTTTCTCTTCTTCCTTCACCTCTATGCATCTCTCCAAGTTTGCCGCGAGGCGCAACTTGCACAAGTTCTCAATCAGTTTCTGCTCTCCAACCCTTGTTCTCGCAATCTGCCTGATATCAAATTTTGATTTTTGAAATGGAAAGAGCACAACTGACAAGCAGATCAATTAGCGTGGCCGAAAACCCAGACCGAGTAGTTACTGTAGATGAATTCTACGAAATTGTCTCAAACGGCGAGGGGTCTCATCTCGCATACCACATTGCATGCGCAGGTACTTGGGGGTAGGCTTAGTTTCGAATTCATGAAGGCGTTAGGTTTAAGAATAGTGCATGATATGGCTTACTTTACGCCAATACAACCCTGTGTGGCATTGGACAGAGTGAGGCTAATAACAAGAGGATGGCATACATTACAAAGCAAACATAGCATAGAAACAGTATAGACAACCCAAAACCAATGCCATTACTTTTCAATATTGATTCAAAGCATGATCAGTACTTGGGACAGTGTTGTGTGCTCAGTTGATCGTGGAGCTCGTCGAACTCAGTCCGGAAACGAAGGTAAAATTGAGGATGCAAAGTCTGTGAAGTAAGGAATGTGTTTCGACAGGTCGAATAACTTCTTTTGAATCAATTTATGATGTGCACTAATTAATATCTGTTGGGGAAACTTCCATATTGATTGGAACGCAGTGGAAAATCCCAGGGTGTCCGAAGAGCTAGCAATAGACTTTCCTCTATTGTAGCTTGTCAGGTTCTCCCTTGTAATTTGAGATGTCAGATGTGCAACGTTAGATTCTCGAGTGCTATGAGTGGTGGGCTGTTTACAATTGGCCAGGCCTTGATTACCGATATGATGGAGCCAAGAAAGCTAAGAGATGTTTTCTGGTCTGGGGGTGTGATCGGGACTTGTGGATTTTATGTTATGGATTGTGGATCTGTCAGGATAAGGTATACCTTTTAGATCTTTATCCAAAGAATTGCATGACACTTCATGTGTGTCTGTGACGCTAAATCGTAAGCAATAAAGCTTCATCGTGCCGTTTTCAGATTGAAGTAGAGGTCCTTCGGTATGGTGTAATATCCACGGTACTGACCAAGAAGAGTGGAGATATTTGTCGCATATACAACCTGGCCATGATTCATTTGAGGGAAGTGGAAACAAAACTTTGCGCCTCTCATTACGTATCTCTCAATTTCGATACTTATTTCGTCCAATGATATGAAGTACCAGGTTCACTTGTCGTCATCGGAGATACCGCGTAGATCAACGCATAATAGTATTCTGGCTAGCCGTAGCCGTGTAGCTATATATCTGTTTAATGAGATAGGTAAGCAAAAATCTTATACGGAAGCCTTTTATGTGCTACTCATAATTTCATTGCATTGATACATGAAGGACGAGCTTCTTTCTATGATTTGCAGTACTCAGTCGGAGTTTCGCTGAGGAATCTTACCAACAAAGTGAGAATTCCTTATCACAAGAGAGTGATCATTTACCTCAATGACCTTTAGGGGATTAACCTCTAGGGTATATATCATATCTCACCTTACAACCGTCCTCTGCAGTACGTCATGCAGACCAGGTAGTGGAAATATGGTAAGTATTGTTGCATATCTGTAGCCAGGGCAGGGGGTGTTGGCTTCGGCTATCATTACCTATTGTTATTTTCTAAACTGTAGTACATTGTTAGTATCCCACCCAATTGACCCCAGTCCCTGCTCGAATGAAGTTGTTTGTTGCATGTCTAAGCCAGGGTCGGACACCTTCTCCTCGGCTAAATTTTCCTAAATTTTATGGTCTATGTTTATTTAATAACCGAGAGGGAACATCACTTCTATATTTCATCTTTGCAATGAGTTTGTAGGAGAGATATAGATCATGAAATAACCTGTATCTGTTGGAACTTGCTTTGATAGAATTGTTATGGGGTTTGAGTGCTCATTGTGAATGGGGGTCCTGCTATAATAGCAGCTGAAGGGGGTTTTATCATTATACAACCACCACGACTGTATGTATCATTGGAGATTGAGGAATGGGATGGGGAAACTATTTGTCAACTTTTCAGTTGTCAACATGGAATCTTGAACTTTTAAGTGTCCTAGGAATATGAAAGGAATTGTAATTGCGGCTAGAATGAGATCAGGAACCACGGCAAGCTATATTCGATATATACTCCGATGATGCACCCACCACGTTCTCTTTCTAATCCTAATTACACACTAATTTATAGACAGGAACAATTGGATATAAACTTCTTCCAATCAAAGAGACCAGAGTAGTATTGTTGCACATCTCAAGCCTATGCAGGGGTTTCTAAGTTAGTGTTTCTAGGATTGAAAGATAAAGTCAAGATGTCTATGAGGTTCATTCACAGGGGGTAAGGGCTGGAGAGATTTCTCCGAATCCAGTAGTTTAACAAAAAACTCTTTTGTTGCATATCAGATCCTGGGTAGGGATCTGAAATATTTCTACTAGCTCCAAACCAATAACCTAAACCCCCTTCTTATACCGATTAGGATCACTGGACTTATTCATCCTCCTATCCTCCAATCAAACCACAAGACATCAGCTATGTTGTATGCCGCAAGCTCAGGCAGAGATCGAGATAAAGTTCCACTAGCTTAAAGTATAATAAAACTTTCTTTGCCTTCAGCATCATAGAACTAAGGAATCTGCTTTGTTGCGTGTCGCAAGTCAAGACAAGGGTCATTAAGGTTTTCTCTTTCCCAGATCAAGATTGAATGTACAGTTTTGTTGCACGTCTGCACAGGGGGCAGGGATTCATCTATAAACCATCATCCACTAGTTGCTGCTTGTCAGTTGAAAATTCAATATAGCACTTGAGTAGCTAATCACCTAGGCAACCTCTAACTTTAAACACATCCTGAGATCATTGCACCATCCACATGTGTGCTAGGGATACGAAGTAAATATCAACACCTGCTAATTAATTCCCAGTTCATTATCATACATATATGTAGAGTACTACAAGATTGATATTTACAAGTTTCGATCGTAGAGATTTGTGATATTATGAGCTGGTAAATACCTACCTGAGTGCTCAGACTGCTGTCTTAGATCTTAACTTCTCAAAGCTCGAGGTTGAAGCTAATTTCGGGACTGTGTCTGCAATTCACCTTGACAATGGCGATGAAGTGATCTTCTTCAATCTGAAAGATATGGTCATCTTATTCACTTTCTCGAAATGCTTGCTTGCTCGCTGCTTTTGATGGTTTCCTCACCGCCCGGGCCTCTCTTCAACCATTATGACAAAAAATAACTACGAAAGTCTTCCATATTAGCACACAAAGAAGAGCTGTTGGTGAATCAAAGCATCTGTTGATTCAAGTCCACTTTCCTATGAATTGTGGGTTTGTGTACACTGATCATGTGATTTCGTTTACGTTTAGGGGAGGTTCTATGTTTTGCTTTAGGCCACTTTCGTCCAAAAATGTGCTCTACGTGGGGATAGAGAAAAATATGCTGATTCAATCATTTAAGAGGACAGCAAAAATGATGTGAGTCACCAAGTATATGCTGGAAGTTTGGCAGAATGTCATGGGATCCACCACCTCTTGAAGAGCGGGAGCGGCAACAACCCTAACTCTGTTTCCCGAGACAACCTCAAAATTGCAAAGTATTTCTAAAATTTCTAGCGTGTTTTTGAAGCAGGGATTAAAATTAAGGCCCCAAAGAGAGGAAAGATAATGCGTAAGTCTTCAGTCTTGTGTGCTGCTCAAAATCAACTTATAATCCTCCGCATTTGAAAAGCAAGTTCTTCCCAATCTTCATGTAATACTTCAAAACAATGGAGAGTGAGCGCTGGAACACTTGCTCAGTCCTCTAAGCAAACAAAGTATGTGGAAAGTTTTCCTTCTTCCCATTCATCCTTTCATACTCTCAGACTCTATCTATGCCACTTGGGCTGTGAAAAATATATTGTAGCCTTGTTTGTCAATAGTGACAACAATCGTTACTTGTTTGCGAAAGAGTTACAGGCAGCTAACAGCTCATAGAATTGATGAGAAAGAAAGAAAGATACAAGTCCTTAGGGCCGCTGAACAAACACCCAAGAGTGAGTCACAATCCACTGAGTACAATCAATCACCAGATGTTCCTGAATATTCATGTATCAGCTTGATATATTATCATCTATGAAATAATCAAGATACGAATGGTGCTTTGCGCCATCTGCCGGTTTTTTGAACCGCCTTGCGAACCTCATTTACCTTCCAAATGCAACGAGCGCGTACTGACTTTACACTTGCAATTCATCAAACACTCTGCGCAATAAATCGCTGGATACTAGTATCTCGCCTATACTTAATATCGAGGGTATATCGTGATCTCTGGTGGGTGCTTGACTGGGCGTAGGCCATCAGCAGAACTCACTGGATGTTCCTCTGCTACTTGTTAGTTAGTTGTAGTATCAACCTGGTTGTTTTTATACATACGACAGAGGCGGATAAAGTTGAGATCGGATTCTCTACTGTAAGAGTATATCTCTTCAGCAAAGCTGTGATTCAAGCAACATGGTTCTTAGTAAAGATGGCCTAGAAAATTAACGACTTCAATATACCTAGATGGTATAGAGAAAATATCAGACTTCTGGGTTGTCATGACAAACAACCATATTGTCTCTAATTTCAAACCGGCTTCACACATGTGAGTTACTTACTCTCTTGCACCCCAGTGGCGGTATTGTACTCTATTTCGCGGAATATTCATCTCAAAGCAAGATGGCTCAACTCGCACAAATCACTCTTTCTCAATAGATAGCCATTGAGTCTAAAACTTTCTTTTGAATAATGAGGTCGTCAGTTTTTACCGACTGCTGGTACAAACTGATGACCTTATCAAGACATCGACAGATGTCATGAAAAAGTAAGGTAAGACAACACACCATCACAAACCCATGTATGGGAAGCTCCGCGAAAAAGTAAAAACATGAGATTCTTTGTACTTCCCACGCAATTTTGAAGACACTTTTCTGATAAATGGATGACTCTGTAGGGAAGAAGCAATCTACTTGCTTCAATTACAAATGCGATGAGAGAGTGGCTCTCTTAACAGTCTAAAAAATGCGTGGAACATGGGCTGTGGCTGGTCCCGCTTTGTTCGCAGCATGGAAAACTTTGGTCTTTCGAAGGACATTCTCCATGAGGCTAGTATCAAAAACAGCATTCGAAAATCCAGGGGGAGCTGGTTTGTATGACTCACTCTGGATTCTTGAATGGCGTTTTGAGTCGTGCAAACTAATTACACACATAATTTTGATGAATACTACGCAGTTGGAGGGGAGGGGCATGGCAATGGCTACGAACAGGCAAGGAGGGCGACCCCACAATACAGTATTCACCCCGCTCATCAACCTATCTCTGATCATGATCAGCTCGATCCTGCGTATACCCATGTCTCTCATTATTCGCCATATTCTCAACAGCAACAAGCATCGGGTCCAAAAGGAACGAAATTTCAACAACCTGATGCCGAGATGATAACTTTGACATGAAAACCATTAGTCTCGAAAACCCCGTCAACTGTCTAGGTCACGACGTAGGACTTTCTAAAGCTCTTCCGGATTCCTGGACCAGAGGGACAAAAGGAGCTGACAGATAGGTGATAGACCCCACACTCTGTAGTACTTCTGATGTATTACTAACTAGACATTTGCAGCCTCCAGCGGCTTACTTCCGCACAAACCAAAGATTATTCAAACTGCTCCAGCACAAGAGCTGATAAGCAAGCTGAGGGTTAGCGGGTGTAGAGGAGGAGCACTTGACTTCCCTGAGCATCGGGTTGACAGACACGAGGAGGAAGCGGGGGTTCGGGGGTTGTGAAGGAGGAACGGTTGGCTTTCTTGATCCTGTATTCACCTTGTGTGAAGAGATTGGCTCACTAGATAGTATATAGAACTAGTCTGTGGATGATGCCATCCCTGTCGAGGACCTTGTTCCTCAGGGAATCTCAGGACGATATCATCCACAATTGGTGGACCAGGAAGGCAACAGGAAGCTCACCGAGAAGAAATTAGAGATCGCTACATTGATGGTAAATAGCCTTGACAGCAATGAGTTCTATTTTCTTCTCGGTGAGCTTCTTGTCCCCTTTAGGTGAACGATAAACCATCTCCATCCAAAACTGACATTGGCACCTTTGATCTTCTTTCCAAGTAAATTCGCAAAAATCCATGTCCGAGTTCAAGACAAGTGTATTTTTACGTAGAGTTAATATCTTCGAAGTCTTTCTTTACCTGTCCTTCTATTCAGTGCAGTCTTGGTAAATACTTATAATAGTTGTCCTCAACGTGATAACATGCATGGCGCTGTCCTACTTTTGCGAGTCTAATCTCCATGATGGCACAAAAATTTCGAGATTGTAGAATATGATATGGATTGACACCATCGATGTTGCAATAAGACCTGGATGGCTGACAAGCATCGCCATTTGATACTAAGTACAGACCGCTTCTGATTTAGTATTAGCGAAATTCTGCCCTTCAATCTGCGAACAGGCTTCCCCACAAATAATCGGCCGCATCTCCAAGTCCAAAGAGCCGATCGGGACACATTTACGAAGCTCTCAGCCCAAGCTTTCTTCTCCCCAAAGTAATTTTATATTGAATAAGATTGATATATCACCCTTTATTATAAATCCTACCGAATGACTTGTTGACAGATAATTTACATCTTTGATCCTCTAACATTTTCAACCTTTACAATTCAAAAACATATAAAACAAAACTCGAGTCTACTCCTTTACATCAGTTACGAGACATATCTCATTATTCGCAATCGCAAACGTCAAAATGGTATGTACTTTTACTTTTCCCCTCGTTTTAAACTTTTGCGGCACTTTGTTTTCCTAGATGACCGTTTGGTTATATACTCTTCTCTACCTCTTCCTCTAATTCGCATTGAACATCTCTCCAAAAACTCCAATTCTTATTCCAGGTTATTAAATTCGCAAACCCTCAAACTAATCCTCTTCCCCAGGTTCAAACACCCGCCCAACGCAAAGCAAATCTCAAGTTCGCTGCCGTCAATGAGAACAAACAAGGAAAATCAGAAGCTCAATTGCACAAGAAGGAGTTGAAGAAACAGAAGAGCCCTATTAGCAAGGGTTGGTTATGTAGGTTTTGATTTCTCATTGTGTCTTTTCTTCATGGAAGGGAAGAGGGATTAGGAATTGAGGGCCGCGGAGGAAAAGCAGGGAGGTCGGGGGACTGAGAAGAGGGGAGGTTTAAAAAGGAGTTTGATTGGTGTGGGAAAGGGGCGTTTCTCAATCGCTCAACGAATGCCTATTGAAAAAGTTGGGTGGAAGCAGAAGTCCTATGGACAGACAGGAACAAGTCACCGCCCAGCGGAATCTGCTTCGTAGAGGAATTTTGAGATATCTCACTATGCGCAAGACTCAAGCTAACAACCCAATCAATAGACCTGTTCGCATTTATCCTTATTGGCGGATTATTTGTCGACCTCCTTTTCCGTGTAGTTTCCTATTTCAGCGGCGGTAAATAAGCGCATCGCATTCTATCTTATTTCGATTCATCTATTCGATTCTCGCGATCATATATGTCAACTAAAAACGGAGGAAATGATGATTTGCATTGTATACAACCTAGATCATGTCGCGTAGACGGAGGCTTACGAGCTATCGATATTCTAGGGGTTGGACTTAAGTCTGCAATTGAGAGAAGCAATTGCGAGATTTGTGGATGGGAGTTTTATTTGGGGCTCGTTTTGTTATTCCATTTTTTGTATCCGTTAAAAGTAACTGGATTTGATGGTCAAGGGGGTTTTTCACATGGGATCAATATCAATGAATGATTGATTTAGCGCTCCATATACTTTGTCATGTCGATTGAACAAATTTTAAGCTCGAAAAGATATCTCTGGCACGAAAGTGCGATATGTCTCAAATACCTTGATGTCTTCCATTTCCGTGCACATATTCATTGGTGGATCGAAAGCCAATAATTACGGCACAGCTACAACAAATATGCACACCTGCTTGATTTCCATGAACGATTGTTGCGTTACAAATTCTAACTATACCTTGCATTAAGATATGTTTATCTTTCATTTGGTTCTATCTATCTCTCTACTCATTACTTCGCTAAATCTAGGAGTCGAGGAAATACAAGATGGGGAGAGATGAAGACAACTTTTAGAACTCCCATAACCCCAAGATGATAGCTGACATAAACAGTTGATCCATGGATACTAAAATTTCACTCAATCAACCCAGCAAAACAGATTACCCGCTCCTATCTCATTCAATTACCCACTTGAATGTAACCCTATGCGCCCAAACCTCTCCTCTTTCCACCGCCATCATGCTTCATCTTCATCCCATAATCATACTGTCTCTCCAACTCACTCTGCACTTTTTGAATATCTCCCTTTCCCTTCGCCTCCACCCCCTTTCCACTGACAGCGCCGCCCTTTCCAGCCCCGAGTAACCTCAAAAACTTGCTTTTCCTTTGCGCATCGCCATCCAGCGCATCTGCATTCCACTGAGCCGCTACTTCTTTCTCAACTTTTGGTTCCTCAGGCTCTTCAGTGGGTTTGGACTTCTTCTTCTTCGAAGATTCCTTTTCCTCCTTGGAGCGCTTGCGTTTTTTGCTTTCCTCTGCTACTGGTTCTGGTTGAGGAGTTTCCTCTTTGACAACGATAGGGGTGGATTTAGCTGCCTTTTCAGCCTTCTTGCGGGCTTTCTTCTCTTCTTTAGTTTCCTCTGTTGGTTCTGGGACCGCGGCCGGTGTTGGTTCATCGACGACAACTTTTGCGGCCTTTTCGGCCTTCTTGCGAGCTTTCCTCTCTTCTTTACTTTCCTCCACTGCTTCGAAAGTTTCCTTTTCGGCCTTTTCAGCCCTTTCAGCCTTCTTGCGGGCCTTCTTCTGTTCCTTCGTTTCCTCGGGTTGATTTAATGCCATTTCCAGACTATCCAATAAATCGACGCCTCCCTCATCATCGTCCTCTTTGACGTTCTCTGTCGTAGGCGCATCTCCATTCTCTTCGACCTTCTTGGCCCTCTCAGCTCTCCTTAATTCCTTCCTCGCTTTTCTTTTTTGCTTTCCCTTCAAATTCACTACTCCCAGCTTCGCCTCTTCTTCCTTCTTTGCCCTTTTCTCGGCTTTCTTTTCGGCTTTGCGCTTTATACGGGCTTCCTTCAATGCAGCCTTCTGTTCTTCGGTCATTACTTTTGGCTCTTTCTCATATACACCCATTATTTTCTCTTGTTTTCGTGTATCCTTCCTGACGCGCTGTATTTCTTTTTTCACGATTGCATTTAATTGGCTCTCATCTAGGTTGAATCTGGGTTTCTGTTTCTTCTCTTCTCGTTTCTTGGCCTTGGTCTCTTCAGAATCTTCTTCGTTATCGCCCTCGGAGTCGGAATCGGAATCAGAGTCGGAGTCAGAATCACTGTTCGATTCATTTTCAGAATCAGAAGCTTCCTCGTCATCCTCGTCATCATCGTTGTCGCCCAAAATCTCGTTTTTTGCTGCAATGGGATCAAAAACAACACCCATTTTCTGTGCGTTTCTTCTCTTCGCCTTCATTAACCTCCTAAATCTAGCTTCTTCCCTTTGTCTTCTTCTAAGATCCCTCTTTGCATTTCCAGCTTCTCTCTTAGCCATCGCGATCCTCTGCTCGATTTGTCCATCCGAAATATCCCATAATGCTAACCAATTCTCCTCTCCTTCTGGCAGAGCGACTCCCTCTGGAATAATTGGTTTAGGTGGAACAGGTTTTGGCTCGTACATCTTCTTCTTCTTGAGTGCCGTCTTCGAAATGTGTGATTTTTTCTCTCCGTCAAGAAGATGAAGTCTTTCCGGATTGATACCTTCTGGCACAGTAGTAGTATCTTCATTTTGAACTGACTGCTTCCCTTCGACTAGTTCTTGTTTCCTCTCCAAACTCTTCTTGCTCTTCACGGTTCCATCCTCCAATGCAACTACCTCTCCCACGTTAAAGGAAACTCCACTAGGATCATGGACCGCGGCCAGTTTCTGGGCTTGGTTGATGGCATTCAAGCGAATCTTATAACGTTCGACATCGATTGCGTGAAGACGATTCCTCTCCTTATTTTTGTTGTATTTTTCTGGGTTACGAGTCTAGAAACACAGAATTGATCAGTTCCTTCCACCCTACTAGCCAACACTAGAAACCCAAAGACTTACAGCTCGTCTAGTCATGATACCGTTTAATTTTCTAGCCTTCTTTGCATCGGACTTGGCCTTCTTCTTCTCTTTCTTCGCCGTATTTCGTACTTCGCGCGCAATTCGCGATCGCTCCTCTATATTCCCAGTTAATTAAAATTCTCCATCCCACTTCAAACAAGGCAAAAGCTCCCTGATTCTATAACCGGGCCATTCCTAATGAATATGCAAAAAGCAAACGAACCTACCTTTAGTAGCTCCAATAACCTTCGGCTTTCCAGCGGACAGAGACTTAGCTCTATAACCCGCATCGCGCTTTTTCATAGGTTGATCGAACTCATGGGTCTTATCCACTCCCCCGAGAGGAATGAAATTTGCTGAGGTTGCCATATTGACTATGTGTAAAAGAATTACACTCGGAGAAAATCTGAACGAGAGTTTGAGTCTTGAAATGCGATTAGGAATCTTTTTTTTGCTCGATGTTGGTCCGAGCTCTGGCTCCGATAAGGATAAGGATTGAAGTCACGTGTATGAGCCCCCCTTAACTACAAGGAATTCTGCATACTTCAAGTCAATTGAGAGAGAAACAATCGAACACTTTGTACAAATGCATTCACACGGATAATCTACAGAACTACATTGTGATAAAAACTCAAAAGCTTTTAGCCCATGATTACCTTTATGGTATCTGTTGCACGCTCCATACGCCATTGAATGCTTCCTAAACGCTATGCATATTACGCCTGTTCCATGACCTCTTCTTCGACCTTTGGCTTCTTCTTTTTCTTCTTTGGCTTTACGACATCTGTAATCGTTGGAGCCATGGAAATTTCGCCTTCGCCTTCTCCTTCGTCAACTACAGTTTTCTTGGCCTTTTTCTTTTTCTTAACCACTGTCGCTACTTCGCCTTCTACTGGTTTGGTCTTCTTCTTCGTCTTCTTCTTCACCACCGTTCCTTCTGGTGGAACGTCTTGTGCAGCGTGGATTCTCTCATTCGCTCGCTGCATCTCCAATCGAAGCCTTTCTACCTCTTTCATAGCCTTTACCATCTCAGCATCCTCTTTCTGCTGCCGCTCAAAGTCAATTCCGCTAGTATTGTCACCCTCAAGGGAAAATTGGCCGATATGACTCGAGTCTACTTGTAAAAGGGATTGTTTCCCTTTTGCCATTCGCGCCTTGACGGGTCCATCAGTGCTGTTCTCAGAATCGTTTGCAGGCGTAGAAGTTCCACTCAGGTTCAAAGTTTCATCGGCAGCCACTTGTATTCGTTGACGAGGCTTTCTCGAGGGCTTTTTAGTATTCGATGTGTTTAGACTTGTCTTGCCCAAGTCTAGCTGCATGATTGGTATGGCATCGATGTCTAAATCTGGTCCATTGTTGTTTTGAATAATGTTATGAAGAGGCGTTGAAGTGCCAGAGATACTACCGTCAGTCGGTGCAATATAAAAGGGATCATCTCTATTTCTTTCAAGTCTTTCCGCTTTCCGTCGCGCAACGATATCTGGATCTAGATATGACTCTTCGCTGCCTTGTTGATAAGACTGAGCAGGTTGGTCGGGACTTCCGCCAAGACGATTGATAGCAGGCTCATTTGATGAAATTGAAGTAGGCTCTGGTTTCTGATGATAATAGACTTCGAATTCGTCGTTTTCGGGCTCATCGAAGGATATCGTGTCTACGTTGCGCAGTAGGTTGTGCAAATTTGGATTGATTGGCTGATCAAGATCCAAATTAGATGGCAACGGAACATTTTTCTGCGCACTAGCTGCAACAGAATTTAATTCCTGCCCCTGAATAGAGAAGGGAGTGCTTGTGTAAGTAAAAGTGGTGCATCTTGCTGAACAGATTCCGAGGACGGCTCTTGACCATTTGTCGCTTCCGCTGCCAACTTTAACAGCTCTGAAAATTCAACTGCCCTCTCCTGGACCTCTAAATCGGGGTGCATTGCAAGGGGTTCAATGGCATTTATAATGCGTGCCATTAACAGTGACATCATTGTCTTCCTTTCAACCGTCCACAATGAATGCTCGTCATCGGCTATGATCGCAAAAACCTTTGGCAATGCTTGGAGGTACACAATGAGACTCTCAGCAGACGTCGAAACCTTGGCAATATGCAGTAAGGCTGCCATTGTATTTTCTGGGGACTCCAGATAAGAAGCGTACTCTCCAATCATCCATGATATCGGACGGAGTGCTCCGTTCCCGGAGCTAACTTGACTCGACGTATCGTTAAAAGCTAGTATCAGTATTGAATCAGCAGCCCTGGCCGCTTGGGATCGAACTGCTTTTACCTTGACGGCAACATTTCGCAATTCATCTCCAATTCTTTCAGAAATATCGTCATCTGAGGATTCGTCCATTTCTTGGTTTGAGGTCGCATTTGTGATAGGAGCATTCCTGACGAGTTGAATTAAAATATCGATATACCAGTCGAAATCGACGAGATTAGCATAATTGTTTATCGAGCACATTTGGAGTATTCTGGTGATGACATCCACCTTATAGTCATCAGGCAATAACAAATCTTGTGATGACCCTCTATCAGACCTGATCGCAACTTCCGGAGCCTCGTCGTCTGAATCTGCTTCGGGTTCAATGTGTCCAGCTGGACGAGGATTTGAACTACTTGCAGGCATTGAGGGAGAACTTCGGAGTTGTCTCATTAATCTCCCAACAATCGACATCAGATTGTCGCTGCTGACCATACCTACAACTAAGTCTAATGCGCGTAAGCGAATTGAGATATCAGGACTATCAATACAGTCCATTATTACATCTTCTTGTTGAGCGACAAGAAATGGGTGAGTAACAACAATCTTGTTGAAAGCGAGTAGAGCGACATATTTTACTGTAAATCTTTAGCATCGGTACCTTGCTGAGGAACTCAAGACTTACGATTAGGGTCTCCCTCAACCATAATCATACCCCGCAGCTTGCTCACACAAAGAGTGGCTATCTCTTCCCCGCCTGCCGATTCCTCACTGCTTCCTAGAATTCCGCCTAATATAATGCCATTTATACATTCATATAGCAATGACATTGCTGGAGTGGTTCGAATGATAGATGTAAGTGGTGGTAAAAGTTTCTTGACCAATCTTGGCTCAAGCGGAGTCAAGGTAGCGAACTAGACGTATGTCAATATGTAGTTTCTAGTACAGGATTTGAAACTGACCAATTTAATGAGTTTGATGGCCATCCAATTATTTCCACTATCAACAAGGAGCTCGAATAACCTTGGGGCGAGTGGTAAAAAGTCTTGAGGTCTCCGCCATCCCAATTCACAAACTACATTGACAATTGCAGCGGTAACACTTGGATCTTCGCCCTCATCCATCAATCGCTCTTTGATTTTGGGCCATGCCGGACGTAATGTTTCTGGGTAGACTAGGGCCAATCTATAAAGTGTGACAATAGTTTTCTTGCGAATCGTTGGATGGGAATGTGTCATTCGAGGTAGTAAGTCTGAGACAACCGATAGTGCCAGTGAAGGAGTAATGACATGCGGTAATGTTATGATTGGTAGAGACATTGTTGTCGGTGTCGCGGAACTCAAATCCTGTATATGCCTAAGTATAATACTTAAGAATCACTTCGAATATCGTACCTTCTTCAAGAGATTTGTAGCCAACATCAGAACTTCAGTATCCGGTCGGAAACTTTGCACAGCGCCCAAATATCCGACTCGTTTCTGCAGGTATTTTGGCGAGGACATAACTTCGAGAACATGAAAGGAAGCCCATGACATATCATGTCCAAACATTTCCAGGTAAACCAGTTTCAGCAAGGCCGTAGCCTTGAGGTCTGCGTTTTATCCGTCAGTTAAAATGCACCCCCTTCTTCTGCCATAGACTCTAACCCATGTCGGATCCTTTGATTTCCGCACGACATTCTTTCAAACTATTTTGAATATACTCCTTCTCGTTGCCTTTGTGGTTTCGCAGACCTCGAATGAGGTCATACAACGACTTTTCAAACCTGCTAAAGCTTTAGTACATCATCCTGAATGAAAGTATGGTTGTTTTGAGCAAGGGCGTACATCTTTAAGGACCTATATTTGTATTGAGTGGTCCTCCATTAAGAAATTAGATTAGGGGAGGGTTGGGTGTCTAACAGATACGACGCGCATGACTTGAGGCTTCCTGGAATTTGGTGGAGATTAGAAAATAGATGTGATTGTTCCAGTGCTATAATGAGTTTCTATGTTGACCTAAGATGCAAGTGTCCATCCGATACCCATACCCCCACTAGCTTTACACCGCCCGCGTCGATAAAGATATTAAGGCATCAACATTACAGATAAGGCATAAACTTTAAGAAACGTCAAAACAGTCGTGAGAGCTAAACTTTATGTGGAGAGCTTTACAATCACAAGCTGTCCCTACTTTAATCGAGCTTACAACCCCGGATTTTCATACTGTACTCTTCTTCTTCCACAAAAGACACATCTAGAACATCCAGAATACCACAATCATGTCCTCTGCACTCCTACACCCACCTGCACATCTTCCGCCAGCACTGGCCTTACAAAACTCTCAACAAGCTCCATCTATATTGCGAAACACACCTTCATCGATATCATCATGGTCCTTAAGCTCGATTTGGACAGCTGCGGAATCGCCAGAATTGTGGACTACTTACGAAAACCTATTAATGTCATGCTTGCGAACTGGTGATGAAAAATCTGCGCAGTTATGCATCAAGCGACTCCAGGAAAGGTTCGGGGTTGAAAATGAGCGGGTTATGGCAATGAGAGGATTGCTCTGTGAAGTCAATGCAGAAGACAATGCAGCATTACAAAAAGTACTAGACGGATACGAACAAAACTTGTCGGACAATCCAAATAACATGGTAAGCTTACTCGAACGTGTTTCCATACAAACACTTACTGAGCTGTGTAGCCTATCTTGAAACGTCGTATTTCGGTTCTCAGGTCACTTGGAAAAACCTCAGAGGCAATTACCGCACTCAATGAGCTGTTGGACTTATCCCCCACGGATGCAGAATCCTGGGCAGAGTTGGCGGATCTTTATGTTTCGCAGGGCATGTATCCACAAGGAATTTTTGCATTGGAAGAGGTCCTACTCATCACACCTAATGCATGGAATGTAGGCGACCTAGTATCTTTCATGGAAGCTTTAATATGCTAACAACTGAACTCAGATGCATGCCCGACTCGGAGAAATTCTATACATTGCCGCAGGTGTGAATGATTCGAATTCGGACCGGTACCTTGCAGACTCTTTGCGAAGATTTTGTAGAAGCATCGAATTATGTGATGACTATCTTCGTGGATACTATGGCTTGAAACTGGTTGGTTTACCCCTATTTTGACAAATCAATTTTAACACACCACAGGCTAGTAGTCAACTTCTCCGCAAGCCCCCAACAAGTCGAAACAGCAAACCAGATAATAGTCTGCCCTTCCCAGATACAAACACAATTGAGAAGCTGAATGAGACTGCTACATCTAAATTATCGGAAATCGTCCGACGAAGTGCTGCTAAAGAACCTGGCTGGGAGGGTTATGACGAAGCCTCCCTCATCGCCGCTCGTGAATTATTGAATAGAGATTCGGGTTCTATCACTCGTTGATATTCATAGAAATTGATCAGTTCTCAGAATGTGGAACATGCAAGGCACATCATCTTGATCCTGGAGACACAAGATCCACATTTTTGAACATGAATTCCTATCATTATTTCAACGTCGGATGTATGCACTCGCACATTCAAAAGTGCAAGGTTCGATATGGTTTTTCACTTCGAAAATTTCTTCCATCTATAAATTACGGTTACGACTTGCATGAGAATGTTACCGTTCAAATCCGGCATTTCAAATGTCATGGGCTAGAATTGGACAATCGAAAGGTAGGTTACAAGCCCCTTCCGAGGTCGTGGCACCAGTAGGAACGCATTCATGAATTTCGGTGCCCAATCATTGAATTGGCGATTAGCTTTGCCACATTGGGCAAGAGGCTCGGAATTCTTGGGCATCTTTAGGCTGTTAAAAAAGGCGGTGACGAGGTATTTCTTAGGCGGCTCTAATTATTTGAACCTATCCGAACCTGAAAGAAACAATTCAGAGATGAGTCTTTTAGAATCGTGACAACGCACGGGTTTAGAAGGCCTGGTATATGTAGATAGAGTCAGCCTTGAGGGTGGTCGATTACAGCTGACACCGCAATAATTCCTTGATTTTTATCCCGAATACTACACAAGTTGTATCTATACATGAGAGTTTTCCATTGTCCAATCTGCTGTGCAACATCGTGGAGCCCTAGTTGTATATCTCAACACTCAAATATGCGGAAACATCATCAATCTAATCACAAGACCAACTACACCAAGAGGAAAGGCTGAAGGAACCAACCACACAAGCCCGAAGTTCCAGAATCATAGAATCAAAAACCGCGAAGTGAGAATTTTCCCTTCCGGTCCACAATTCACGCAGTTCTGCATGTTAAATTAAAAAAGCCAAATACATGAATTTTCTGACACTTTTATTCTTCCCATAAGAGCCCAAGGGCTTTGAATTCGTACCCGGTTCTCAAGTCTTTTTACCCCTTCATCAGCAGACGAAGCGAATTCATACCGGAATCTTCCATCTTTACCCCCAGAACTTGAATTCATCACTCCGTCCCCCCTAGCAACAGAGTGCCATCCACCCAATATTTATTTGTCCTTCACATCCATCCTCTCGTTGAAACAAAGTCTTCTAGCGGATTGAGAACAATTACATCAACAGCCAGTCCCTCCCCACTACGGAAGACTCTATCGTGAATAAGAAAGCAAAAATACACAAACTATCTCACAACATAAAGTCTACATAAACTACACAACGTCATATCACATCCTCAAATTCTTTTTCCTCCTCTTTCATTTGATTTGAAATTCCCAGAAACCGAAAACCAAGTCAGTGGTACCGGAGTAATCATATCAACATACCACAAAGTACTCACACATAAAATCAGTGTTTGATTATCACCATTGCCATACAAATATTACCCCTCAGGACGAATGATTGGAAGGCCCGTTCTTTTTTCTCCAGGTGGTCCATCTATTCTATACTCTCCTCCCTACACGGACCATTTATCATTTCCTCTCCGGCTTCCCCTCCCTTCTGGTATTCTTCTGGTTTCATAATCGTCTAGACTTCTGACATCGACCGCGAATGCAACCCCATTTGGAGATTTTCTGGATCATTCTCTTCCTTGGAGTACCTAGGATCTCAATATCATACCTCGGATCATCTTACCTTTTGGACAACTTCACAAGGAAAGAAAGGTATGTTACAGTAGTTCGATCTTCACATAACTCAAGATATCAGATAGGCGATCAATCTTTTCTGTTACTTGAGAACTTTTATCGTTTCTTCCAGACCATCATCTTCTTTATGAACTGGTCCCTTGATCCTTGTACTACAGTGTATGTGCAACAGCTCTTTAACCTTGTGTACCGATAATGCTCGCTCTTTTCTCCATTTGCCGCGAGTGTGTGCCAATTTTGAAATATGGCTAGGTGTATTAGACGTAAGCGTACCCAAAAGGATCCATATGGACTTCATTGATGAGAAAGAGAACATCGAAATAGGAAGAACCTGGCAGCCTAGGAAACGATGGAAGGAATTAGAAAATACTACCTTACCTACTAGAACTAGTAGACGAATAGCAGTCCAGCTCAGTTTGGATTGGTTGACAACGAATAATAAGAAGTATACGCTAAAATATTCGACCCCTCGTAGCAGAAAAGGATCCGGGAAAGCTACTCGTGGCTACAGACAGTACTTCTAGCCACTGCTGCCCACAGACCAAACCCAAAAAATTATAATCCACCACCACACCACACCACACCACAACCACTTACCATCCCATCCATCATCCACCCGTCAACCCATCCACTCATTCACCCACCCACTTATTACATCCATTCAAGATCCACACACCACATTTTTATTTCTTGATTTCCCTTTCCCCTCCAAACCCTCTCTCGAACTCAATCCTCACTTATCGATAAAAATCCCTCTGCCACATTCTTCGAACATAGACCATACCGTTCGAATAAGAACATCAACAGTCGACAGTCGACGATTTCATCGGTAGTGTTACTTGTTATATTAATATTTTAAAGTATCACTACACATCGCCGCTTACATCTCCGATCAACACAACCTTGGATTTTCATAAACTATCTTAGCATACCCGTCGATTGATCAACACCGAACCACTAGCTAGTCAAGCTCGCGACGGCCCGCACAACCACTACAATTTATTATTACTATTACTTCTTCACTCAAACTACCAAAAGTTTGACACGACGCCGTCCAACCTTAAAAATCAATTGAATTTTGTGCTTTGACGTTGACTCGCTTCTTCGTCTGCATCTTCTGCATAGAATTCATATAAACTTCACAGGTTTTTCTGCAATACATTATCGGTAGTCCAATCCAGAACATTCTTCAAGAAGTTGTGAGGTGGGACATAGCCTGGGCGAAGACTCCCCCCCCCTTCACCAACCCATTTTCAAGGATATCTTCACTCCGACATTCTCGAATCGAGAGTTGTGGGTGGGAGATAATTCCTTGAAAGAGACATCCCGATGCCGTAAGTACTTGAATTCACAACATAACTGTCACACTGATAGTTGCGACATAATTAGCGGTCTAGCTTCACCTATGCTGACTCTTTTATTTCCCATAGTCTTCGTACAAGGGGTCCAACAACTCGAATACCAATCGATACCCAAAGTCCATATACTACTCCATCACACTCTACTTCAAATTCTAGATCCAATTCATTCTCCGAAGGATCGTCGGGTCACATTCGCTCAGACGATAGTCACGAATTTTCAGACAATTCCCAAGA